GTAATTTTTTTGTAATGCAATATTCCAAGTAGATTTTCATCAGTGTTTTTGTTTTTCCTCCCAGTGAGTGATTTTTAGTTGTGTACTTTCTCCTCTGTAAGAGCGATTTTCATTTGAAACTTTGTCATTGAATTTGAACTTTGTCTCCCGAGTCGTGAATTTGGGTTCATGTCCTAGTTCGGTTGTGACAGTACAAACTGGCCAGCATGAACCCAGCTGACTCAGATCAATTGACGGCGGCCATTCGCTCCCAAAACACCTGCCTGAGTCAGCAGGAGGATCAGATGTCCGCTCTACATAGTGGAGTGAAGGGGCTAGCGAATTGTCAAGAGGATTTCAAAGCCGCCATTACAAGCCAAGTGAATCTCCTGGCAGCCCAGGTACATCAAGTCCTGGCTCACCTCACGAAGGACCCCTCCTCTCTCAATGCAGTAGCCACACAGTCTCCGGCGGCTGCTGGAGGATCTTCGGCCCCAGTCTTCCATGCCACAGCTTCTCGTCTCTCCCCACCTGAAAAGTTTCCCCGTGAGTCTGGAGAATACCGGCCTTTCATCGACTGTGAAATGCTTTATGAACACATGCCATCAGCTTTTCCTACAGAACGGTCCAAAGTGGCATTTATGATTTCCCATCTCACTGGGAGGGCGAGGGCGTGGGCTACGACTGAATGGTCCCGTGATTCATCGATCTGTGGATCCCTTGACAATTTTAAACAGGCTCTGAAGAGGGCGTTTGATCTCCTCTTGCCCGACCGAGAGAAAGCACGAGAGTTATGTCATATCAAACAAGGTTTGGAATCTGTTTGTGATTATGCCATCCGCTTTCGTACCCTAGCCACTAACAGTGGATGGAATGCCACAGCCCTTTATGACATTTTTCTTAAGGGACTCTCTGACCAGATTTAAGACTTCGTAATGCCTCTTGATCTGCCATCGGATCTGGACTCTTTCATAACCCTGGCCATTAGGACGAACAACCGTTTACTTGAGTGTCGACGCAGCCGAACAGCGTCATCAGCAGGTCTCAATCCGGGCCGTGCTGCAGCCACTACAGCTTAGTTCCTCACGCTTTCCATCACCAGCTTCACAGAGGTTGGCGCCCTCTGAGGAGGTAGAGGAGCCCATGCAGGTGGGCCGGGCCAAATTGTCCACAGAGGAGCGTCGTCGCCTGCAGGAGGGCAGGTGCTTCTACTGCGGGCAGCAAGGTCATCTCCTTGCAGCGTGTCCAGCAAAAACCAAGATCACAGTGAAGCATCAGGACACCACAGTTTCTCTTGGGGGGCTCATTGACTCAGGGGCTGATGAGAGACTCATGGACTGGGATTTTGCCACAAAACTCAATTTGAAAACTGAACAATTATCCCAACAAATAGAGGCCAGTGCTCTTGATGGGAGTTCAATATTCTTGGTGACTCACAAGACTGAACCATTGACAGTAATCATTGATGACCACCATGAACTCATGTGTTTTCATTTTTATAGCTCTACCCAGCACTCTCTTGTTCTGGGTTTCCCTTGGTTAAAGGAACATACCCGTACATTGACTGGAGTACTGGGAGGGTTTTGAACTGGGGTGAGAATTGTAAACATAAATGTCTCAAGTCATATCCTGCTATGAATGTGAAAACTGTTTTTAATCAATTTCAATTTCAATTAGCAGTTTATTGTCATTGCACATGTCACAAGTACAGAGCAACGAGAAGAACAGTTTACATCCCATCCAAGAAACATATAAAGACAGTAATAACAGGGGGAGACAGGAGGGGAGAACTGTCGTGTCGCCCAGCCTGAGCGGGGTCACCTCATAAGATAGGAAAAGGGAAAACAAGGGGGAAGATGAGGGGAAAAAAAGGCAATTCCCAAACTGGGCTCCTCTGGGGGGGCACAGTGTGGGATTAGGAAAAAAAACACCTCAGCACATCAGCAACATGATAGAACATCACAACAAAACTCAAGACTTGCACATGTGGGAGGGGGGAGGGTGTTGGGGAGGGTAGGTGTGACAGCTCAGACACCGGGGGGAGCGCGCAGCCACAAGGCACATTCGCGTCATCCCACAGCATACTGGTCTGTGACGGGGGAGGGAGAGGGGGTGGAGCCAACCAAGGCGTTGAGTCCAGGGGTGTGTGTGTGTTGTGTGTCTTCGTGTACGTGTATGTGTAAGTCCATGAGCTTCATCGCCGGCCAGACTCAACAGTGTCTCTGACGTCTGATGCAGGTGACGGGACACGGCCGTTGCTGTGGAGACGAGCTCGAAGAGTTCTGGTCCAGAACAAAGTTCACAGGAGAAGGAGTAGGGTAGGGGAGGGGCTGAGCATCTGTCTGCATAACATCCAGTAGAAGTGTAGAGGTATCAGCCTTCCAAGGCCAAGGCCGAAGCGGGGGAGCCGAATGAAGATAAAGAAAGATTGTTTGGGTCAGGCCGACTTGTGATTTACCGTCAGACCTTAGAGTCCCACTGGTTCTCTCTGTGATCCAAAAAAGCCGAATATGATGGCCTATTACATCCGGATCGGGCTGTTCAACCGCTCCAAGGTGGTGTCCATCTTGCGAATCAGTTCTTCCATTTTGCGATTTAGTTCGCATATCGCATGAGTCTGAGAGTGGACAGCCCGAAGCAATCCCTCCATGACGGGCAGCTTGTCAAATGCCAAAACTGCTGCCTCCGTCTTCCGAACTTTGCGATAAAGCAGGAACCCACAAACTCCAAACTGCAGGAAGCCTGTTATCATGATCCCAATTAAGTAGACGTCTTCAGCATCCTCCACGGAAACTATAGAGAGGCACACGACCCTCCACTCCTTCCAGGAGTCCATCGTGTATCCCGCTGCAAACGTTCCGTTGGGGCAGGCGGGCTCTCCTTTGCCCAGTCTTCTTGTCGAGAAAATTTGATCAATTGCATTGAGAGACCAGCTGATCAGATCCATGTTTTAGGGTTTTGGCGTTTCAGAGTGAAATGCAGAGAGAGGCTCTGATAGATTCAGACAAGGACAGCAGAGGACAAAGAGTAGCAAGCAGGGTAGATAAGGGCCGGGAGGGAGCAAGAGAAAAAGCGTCCGCCTTCGTCGAGAGCAAGAAGAGAATGCCTGCTCTGTTAATTTTGACACAGACTGTGAAACCCCCAACCTGACTTCAGTCCCGAGATGTTACCATGATCTGGGTGAAGTATTTAGTAAAAGTAAAGCTACTTCCCTTTCCCCCTCACAGACCATATGATTGTCCCATCGACTTGATCCCAGGGGTCCCAATTCCTAAGGGTAGATTGTATTCTATCTCTGGTCCTGAAAAGAAGGCCATGACTGAGTATATCGAGTCTTCTTTAAAGGCTGGTCTTATTCGCCACTCTTCATCTCCAGCAGGGGTAGGGTTCTTTTTTGTGGGGAAAAAAGATGGGACCCTCCGACCATGCATTGATTATGAACCACTAAATGACATAACTATTAAAAATCCTTACCCTCTGCCACTCATGTCATCAGCTTTTGATCAGCTTCAACGGGCCAAGATTTTTTTCAAATTAGATCTGAGAAATATCACCTGGTGCGAATCAGAGAGGGGGATGAATGGAAGACAGGCTTTAACACACCTACTCACTATCTGCCCAGATAGTTACTTTAGATGGTATCGCCTTAGCGTCTAGTTCCACAGTAAAGAACCTCGGGGTTACTTTTGACCAGGATATGTCCTTTAACTCTCATATAAAACAAACATGTAGGACAGCTTTTTTTC